GATAGTAGCCATTCTAACTGATGTCAGGTGATACCTTATTGTGGTTTGATTTGCATTTACCTAATGGTTAGTGGTTGAACATCTTTTCATGTGCCTGTTGGCCATCTGTATGTCTTCTCTGGAAAAATGCTTATTAAGGTACTATGCTGCCCATTTTTTAATTGGGTTATTTGTGGGGTTTTTGGTGTTGAGTTGTATGAGTTTATATATTTTGGATTTTAGCCCCTTATTGGATATATCATTGCAAATATATTCTCCCATACAATAGGTTGCCTTTTTGTTTTGCTGATGGTTTCCTTTGCTGTGCAGAAGTTTTTAGCTTGATGTAGTCCCATTTGCTTATTTTGCTTTTATTTTCTTGCCTGCGGAAATGTATCCAGAAAAAATTACTCGTGTTTATATTCAAGAGGTACCTGCCTATGTTTTCTTCTAAGAGTTTTATGGTTTTATACCTTACATTTAGGTCTTTAACCCATTTCAAGGTTATTTTTTTGTATGGTGTAAGGCAGTGATCCAGTTTCGTTGTCTTCATGCATGCAGCTGTCCAGTTTTTACATTACCATTTATTGAAGAGAGTCTTTTCCCTTTGTGTGCTCTTGCCTCCTTTGTCATACAGGCATAGGTTTACTTCTGGGCTCTCTATTCTGTTCTGTTGGTCAGTTCTTTGACCAGTGGGTTATTTAGAAGTATGTGTTTAATTAAAAAATATTTGCTTTATTTCCAAAGAGCTGTTACTAATTCCTAGTTTAATTATTAATGGCCAGATAACATACTGTGTATGATTGTAAACTTGAGATTTGTTTTATAAATCAGCATAAAAGTGAATATTCTGTACACTTAAAAAGCGTACATTTTGCTTTTTATGAAGAGGTGCAATAGGTCAAGTTAGTTAATGATGTGTATAAGTCTTCTATACACTTACTGATGTTTTGTCTAGTTGTTCTATTAATTGCTGAGAGATGAATGTTAAGATCACCCACTATTATGATTGCTTTTTCTAATTCTTTCAATTTTTGTTTCATATATATTGAATCTCTGCTATAAATTGCATATAAATTTAGAATTATTATATCTTCTTGAAGACCTAACTTTTTATAATTATAAAATATCCATATTTTCTACAACCAGCATATTTAAACAGGCACAACTTTCTATAACAAAACTGTAGTGGATCTATGCAATTTCTCATACATAACAAACATGTAGAGCAAGCATAGACTTTGAATTAGAGATGATATTTTGTAAGAGATAACAAAGAATTTTTCAGGGTTAAAAATCAGGATAGCACAGGGGAATTTCTTATAAAAACACCTCTCAGGACTCAATTTCATGATGATATTATGTAAGGTAATCAGGAAAGGACATTTGTACCAGATAATGTTAATGTTATTAGTGTTTTTGAGGTAAATATAACCTAGTTTACACTTGCTTTTATGACAAGATGTAACGACATGCTCAATGCTTTGTTTTCTCAAAGACTCTGTCAAAGTTTTCTCTATTCTCTCAATGGCTGGACACTTCCTTAACATGATAAGAGTTATCTACCTCAGTTCCCCAAACTAGCAGCATACTTGATGGGAAAATTGTGAAGATATGCCATTAGAGGTAAAAATATGACATGGAAGCCCACTGTCTTCACTATTATTAAATATTTTTACTGGAAATACTAGCCAATGCAATGGGATATGATAAATTAAAGGTATAAAATTTGAATGGGATTAGGTAAAACACTCACCATTTCAATGATATGATTATAATCCTAGAAAACCTAAAAGAATCAATTCCAAACAATAAGGCTACTTAGTAAGGCAGTAGAGTAAAATATTAACATGCAGAAAATGATACTTTCATGTATATAAACTACTATCAGGTAGTGTAACTCCATTCAGATTTGACAGATCCAGGTTGCTGCTGAAAGACAGATGATAGGCTGGATTGAATTGTGCTGCTATTGCTTACATTTCTCAAACTGGCCAGTTCACCACTTCACAGTACCCCTCATAGACAGTGTTATAGTCAATCCCTATCCTCTCTCCACCTCCTAACTTTGTCTTGGCTCCTTAGAAGTTAAGAGGTAGCAAAACAGATCCTTTCCTTAAATATATAGGAGAAAGAGAGATAGAGTACCTATCAGATAGGATAATTTGGGCTATAAGAAATAAAATCTCTGTCTCAGACATACCTAACAATAATGATAACTAACATTTTTGAGCACTTACAATATTACTAACACTATTTAACTCATTTAATCTTTACTCTATCTCTATCAGGAAACAATAAGTAAACATATATCCCTACAAGAAGTTCAAAAAGAGGGTGGGCTCCAGGTTTGGAATGGTATTTCTATCACTTTGTTCAGCTGTCATCAGCATCAGTTATATTCCCTGTGGTTGGCAAGATGGCTGTCAATGGCAGTACGGGCTAGATGTTTCTATGTCTAGAGGAGAATATGTTAGAAACTTTGTCCTAAGCAAGAAATGGAAGTCCTTTTCCTTATTTCATTGAGCCAACTTGTATCACTGCTCATCTCTTGAACAATAACCATTCCTAGAGGAATTCTGTATAGTGATTGGTTTAGATTGAATCAGTATCATTTTCTAATAGTGGGAATAGGGTTGCTATTTGAATAAAATATAATTTATGCTACAAAGGAGTAAGGGGCATAAATAGCAGGTATATACACACCAACATTACTTACTGTAAAATATTTTTAAAACCATATCAAAATATATTCCAAAACTTCAGGAGATTTAAGTCCAGTAATGGAAGCATAAATTCTGAGGTTTCAAGCAAATGGTCAGAATGTCTATTTTATGCTTTCTTATTTGCAAAGTAAATATGTTTCTCTTTTTCATATGATAGATGAACTTGTTGATCCAGAGTTTATTTTCATGAATATTATATGAAATGCACATATACACAACTTCATAAGCTTTTATTAATTGATTTAGTCTGTTAAGTATCAAACTTAGTGTAAGGCATTGCAATCTTTTTATTTTCAATATTCAAGTAAAAATTTACTGACCTTCTGAGTAAGAATGCTAACATTTAGTACTTCTAATTTATCATAGGATTTACTTCCCAAAAATGTTAATCACAGCTGGATCGAAAGAGTATTTGGGAAATGTGGCAATGTTGTTTATGTAAGTATACCACATTATAAATCTACTGGATATGCCAGGGGATTTGCTTTTGTGGAATTTGAAACAGAAGAACAAGCAGTAAAGGTTATTGAGGTAGGTCCAGAACTTAAAAAGTAAAGGAAAATTAGTGTTTTTAAAGAGTAACAAAACTTGTTTTGCTTATTTTATTTGTTTCTTAACAACCTACCAGAAAGCCTCGTATATTTCCTAAGACAGTGAAAATAAGCCCATTCCTGCCCTTAGAGTAGCAGGTGAGTTATTTGATATTTAAGTAGATAAAGCTGTAAAATTAGCAAACCAATTATAGCATTGTTACAGAAGAAAAGGGAAAGAAGAAGAAAGGCCAAATGAAAAAGGAAGACAATATCCAGATCAAAGAGTTAAATGTGGACACAAGCAAGGAGAGCATCTGTAAACAGAAAAGATACAGTACTGCTTCTGAGGGCTCCAAAGTAGAGATAACTGAACCCCAAAAGCCACCCTCCAAGAAAAAGGAAAAATGGGAAAGAGCTGAAGCATCCAACTTACCTTTAGTCAGACCAAGGAGGAAAAGTAGCTCCGAAGATGCCCAATACCTAACTACCAGATCAAAAGTAAAGCAAATGGTTCAAAGACATTAGAAAAAAAGCTTCAGAAGTCTACAAAGAAAACAAAGGTATTTAATAAATTTCAGGTTAGAATTAAATAAATAAGGTTCTTATTTCTTATGTCTTTATTTTTTGATTTTTAACTTTTAAGATTTAGAAGTCTCTAATGAAGAGGAAAGGGATACTGGAGATATAAAAGATGGATCTCTCTTAAAAGCAAAAAGGAAACATAAGAAAACACATAAAGAGAGGCATAAAATGGGAGAAGAGGTTATAACATCAGAGTACAATTAAAGCAAGTCGATGGTACATATTTATATTGTTGGCAATCGATACACTCCAAGGGCATTTCAATCTTGATCTCGTTCTTCAGAAATTTAAGAAGTCAATAGTCAATGTCAGATCAATGATTACTCAATCAATGCCCATTTTATTTCATTTCCTCTGTTTAAGAAACCACTGAAATAGTCCTGTACTTCAAGTGCCTCAAAATCTGATTAGTTTCGATTAATTCTTCATAAAAGAACTATTCTGGGGATTCGTAATTTAACAAAAGGCTGCTTTGACAAAGTGAGATGCATTGCTTTTAGAGGAAAGCTTGGACTTCAAGCTTGACACTAAAAACGTAAGTGACGACGATAACGGTGGTAATAATGGCAATGAATGATCAAGATGAAAATAACTAACGTTTACTGAGCACTTACAAAGTGCCAGACACTATTCTAAGTGCTTTAATCCTCAGAACAAATCTATGAGGTAAATACCATTATTATCCATATTACTGCTACATTCCATGAGAACCATTACAGTTCTTTTTTATCCCTGCATTCTCCGGAGCACAGGAGGCATTATTAAGTGTTTGGTGAATAAAAGAAAATTGTGTTGCCAAATTTCGCAGCCGAATGGGGCAAAATGGACCTCAGTGCGAGTAGGGCTCAAATGGCCCGTGGTTTTGTGTCCTCAGAGGTCAGTTGAGGCGCCAGCTATGAAGCGCTACACATGAAGCGTTACCGGTGGTTTAAATTTTCTCGGCAGGCGCTGCTGGACTGGACGTATGTTGGAGACTAACGGGACACAGAAAACAAAAAAGCCGGGCTTTGAGTCGCCTAACCCCTTGGGAACACGACTCCGAGCGTTTGGAAAGCGGCGGTCCGGCGGCCCAGGTCGTCTCTGTCTGGGATCTGCCCCTGGGGGGCGCTGGGCCGCATTTCGCCAGCGGCTCGCGCGACTCGACACTCTAGCCCCGCGAGGAGGATACGCCGGAAGTCTCCACTGCTCCTGGGGGTGTCTCTTGCTCTTAGCGGAGCGCGCTGGTCACCCAGTTGCAGCCGCTGCTCACGGCTGAAAGGGCAGTTCACCCTGGCTCCGGCATGGTACTGTCGTTCCTAGCAGGTTAGATTTCCCCCGGGAGAAAGAATCCAGGTATCTCCTACTCTCACAAGCGTTTCTTCCCGCAGTCCGGCGGCCGCGCGGGGTGGGCTGCTGTAAGGGGAGTCCCCTTGGGGGTCACCTCCCGGCGGCTCGCGCCTTCGCCGTGTCGCGCGACCTTCCTTCATGGCGTGCTTGGCGCCAGGGGACCCTTGGTGGGCTCCGCGCCTTGAGATGAGCCAGACTGTCCCCTTCATCCCGGAGTGTGAGAACGTGGGTAGACGACGATGGCCTTGCCCTGCAGTCTCGCTGAGCTTTGTCAAGAAAACATTTGTGAAGAGTTGGGAGCACTTTGTTCATGTTCCTAAGTTGAAACACTCCGAGGAGGATCGTACCCAAATGATTGTAAAAAATAACTCTATGGCTCAGCGGTCATTGTAATTTTTGTCCCCATTACACTTGACCTTCATACAAAGGCTGACTATGAAAGTGATTTTCAGTGTGGGCGACGGCGCGTGTGCGCGTGTGTGTGTGTGGTGTGCTGTGTGTAATTTTGGAAATCCACCAAGATTTTTATATTTTGATACTTGCTTCCCCTCGTACCTTCCTTGACTCTTCCCCTTCTCACCTGAAGGGTAGTTCTATTTCTTAGGTGTTTATGACTCTACTTCACCTTTGGAAAGAATTAACTCTTTACTTCCACTTTGCAGACTTGAAACAGATCTGATTGTATTATTCCTCTGCTTAAAATCTTACTTTCCCATTGGATCAGGATAATATAAATGCCTTAGCCTGGCTTTAAGACCCTTCAGTGTCTTGCTTCTGAGTTTTACAGACTTTTCATGGAAAGCACACCTACGTATACACATGCTTCTGTTAGGCCAACCTGCAGTAATTTCATTACTTTGGATATGACAAATTTTATAATGGTTTACCGACATTTTCAAATTTATTTTTCCATTTTTTTCAGAATGTATTGAACTCCTAATATTGCCAGGTATTGTTTTAGAAGCTGGGAATATAATGAAAAAAAAGGAAAAAGATACGCATTCTACAGGTCTTTAAAAAAAATAACATTGAAATATAGTTAACACAACTAACTAACCCATTTAAAATGTGCATTGATATGTACTACATTCACAAAGTTGTACAGCCATCAGCACAATCAGTTTTAGAACACTTTCCTCACCCCAAAAAGAAGCCCTGTAACCATTAGCAGTCTTTGATGACTTCCCTCCTATCCCACCTTATTCCTTGCCTGTTGGTCAACTCATATAAATGAAACCACACAATATGTGGTCTTTTTTGATTTGTTGTCTTTCTGTTAACATTCATGTTCATCCATGTTGTGACATATATCAGTACTTCATTCTTTTTTATTGCTGGACAGTATTTCGTTGTATGGATATACTACTGTTTATCCATTGTTGGTGGCCATTTGGATTGTTTTGGCTATTATGAATAATGCTGTATACGTTTCATATAGAAGTTTTTGTGTGAACAGTGTGTTTTCATTTCTCTTGGCTATATACCTAAGAGTAGAATTGCTGGGTCATGTGGTAACTCTACATCGAACATTTTGAAGAAATGCCAAAATGTTTTCCAAAGCAACTGCATCATACTGTATTCCCATCAGCAGTATATGAAGGTTCTGATTTCTTCACATCTTCACCAACACTGTCATTATCTGTTTCTTTTTTAAATTTTTTTATTCTAGCTATACTACTGGGTGTGAAGTGTGTCTCATTGTGGTTTTGATTTGAATTTCCCTGAAGGTTAAGGATGCTGAACATCTTTTCATGTGCTTTCGGCCATTTGTATGTCTTTGGAAAAACATCTATTCATATACTTCACCCATTTTTAGATAAGGTTCTTTTCATCACTGAGTTGTGAGAATTCTTTAAACATGCGAGATACAATTCTCTTATCAGATATGTGACTTTTCTTACAGATTAAGAAAATTCTTTTATGGAGCTCCCTTAAATGAAAGCACCTGAGGTTAATTTTTACTCTTTTTAGAGACCGTGTTAAAAATCTGTAGGCTAATTCAGAGAGTGAATTGCACAGCAACTTAGATGTGTGAAGTACTAGGGCCAGGAAAAAATGCTGTGAAGAACCTGTGAGCAGCAGCATTTTAAGATACGAAAAAGGAGGGAGGGGGAAATAGTTTATATAATTTATCCATTCTCTACTGAATTTTGTCTTTTCTCTGTTGGTTTGTAGTTCTTTGTGTAGAGATCCTTAAGCCTCTGACTGTTACGGTATGTGACTGATATTTTCAGTCTATTTTTGTTAAGTTTGTTTTATATATCCTTTACTATCTATACTAATGTACTCCATTTTGGTGTAATCAGGATTTTAAATGTTTTCCTTTAAAAGGCTTTTGGGTGGGGTTTTGGATACTTAAGTTAAATGTTCTTAAATTGCAGAAGTTAGAGAAACTAATATACTATCCCTGGTTAGTGTGACATCTGGTCCCTGGTATTACTTTTAACCTTGTAGTTATTGTTTTAGACACCAGTACATCCCTATCTCTCTGCTTTGAAAAATATGCTATAATTTGCTTCAGCTTTCTTGGTTCATTTAATTTTCTATTTTCAACAGACTCCTTTAAGTTACTCCCTTATTCTTGTAGTCATGTTTAAAGGAATATTTTACTGCATTAGATTTGTGAGAGCTGTATTTGATAGTTGATTACCAAATAGATACTTATCTCATGCTAGCAGAAGTTTCTTTGAAGAATTTATGTGTGCAGAGCTTGAATGTGTCAAATCTGTTTTGTTTGGGGAATGCTGGAGATAATAGTTTTATAAAATCCTATTAACATTATTTTGGTATTTGTTCTTCTCATTTCATTGTTTTAAAGATAGTGGTAATTAAAATATTTTTAGGGTCTTTGAACATTTTGAGAAATTGAGGAAAGCTGTATACCATAGCTCCCTAGAAAAAGTTGCATGTTACGAACATTAGCATACAGATAAATCTGAATTCTTTTGGGTGTATACCCAGAAATGGAATCGCTGGATCATAGGGTAATCCTCTGTTAAATTTTTTGAGGAACTGCCCATATGCTTCAGTGTTTTTTTCATTCACATAAAATATGAGGTTTAAAACAACTGTAATTTAGGCACTTATCACATTTACTTTTCTAAAAATAGAAGTTCAAAGAGCCATCTCCTAAATGAAGGAATATAGTTTTTGTCTTGGACTTAGAGGTCTTCGAGTTTTAAAATTATTTGAATTCAGATTAAATAAAAGGCTTACTTGGGAGGTTACTTTCCCAAATACTAAACTTCTTTATGGTCCAAGCTCTTGGGTTTTTTTTTTTCTCTTAGTTCTGTGTTAGTCTTTTAGGGGCAAATTACCCATTATGGCAGACCCTAAAATGGAGATGGCTTTGCCTACAGTTCCTTTAAAAGTCTGGATTCCTCTGTTACCATTTTGCTGTGTGGTGGATGCTTTGACAAATACTTTGGTATGCTTTTGTTAATCTTAAAAATAAAACTGTTAGTTGTTTTTCCAGAAAAGTGGATTTATGAGGGACTAGCAGAGAATTGCAGTTTGGGACAAGAAGCTATGGCAAAACCATAGGCATGTCTGGAGAACCAAGGAGAGGAGTGCTGCTTTACAGAGGAAAGGGCAGAGTTGGGAGGGAATTGGAAGAAACTGGGTGTCCCATATATGATAACCTCTCATTGGCTGGGCTATTGCTGCAGATTGTGGAGGGTGAGGGAAGGAGGCAGATAAATATTTTCTCTTGCTGGATAGTTAAGTAGCTAAAACTGTATGACTTGGAAAGAGTGTCTTCATTCTGGTGGGTCTGCAACTGACAAGGATTGGTGGGTGTTGAGAGCTCCTCCTGCTGGCCTCTTGATTCCACTTTAGTGAGGTTTCCTTCTCAATTTTCACATTGTGAATACTGCTGCTTCTAACAGGCAGATTTACCTCCCCCAGTGCAAAGATATCATGTCATTAATTAGCAAGGGATGGGAAATGACTAACATTATTCTTTATTACTGTACCATTTTTTCAGCCATTTCCCTGATATTGGAACTGTAAGCTGTGAATACTGGGATCCCTCTCAATAACTGTGGCTTCCCAAAGATCGATGGGGAAATGTAGAAAAACAGGACAACAGTATGCTCAGCCAAATCTTAGAAAAACTAAGATGTCATGCTGCCTGCCAGACCTTCCCTCCTCTGTACCCCCTCCAGTTGCAACATCTTTCATAAACTCATTTTTTAGTATTCCCTCATCGCTATTAACAGCTTGTACCACATAGTAAACAGCAAGCATATTATCAGGAGAGACAGGAGGGACAAGTGTGTTAATATGTCTTTTGCTCTCAGTTTGCATCCGTTTGTCATCTGGGCTCTCACCTGGTCATCTGTCTTCCTGGGGGCTCTTGGTACCTTATGGCACCTGGCATCTGCGGATGCACTGGGAAAGGTCCCCAGATGGAGTTAGATGCTCCAACCCCTTAGAACTTTAATATAACTTAGATTTATATGTGTCTTGCCCAGCACCCAGCAAATACCAAGATTACATAGATGCCGAGTACCCAGCTTGGCCTGTTTATGCCACAGCTTTTTGAGGCAGACAAAACACAGTCACATAAAAATGCTTTTATAGGACTTCTTTTGAGGTTACTAGAATTTCAAAAGTGAATATTGCTTCCTGGTTTTTAGTAGTAGGTTGTTACCTTTCATCAGACCTGTCTAGGCTGGGGATGAAGTGATTTACTTCTCTTGTACATTGATAGCCGTTGGAAACACTTCTAAGTCAATATTTAAATATTTCAACATGCTTGTGTCAGATGAGGACCTGTCTAATTTTATTTGGGCCTTGGGCCTTTGGGTTATAATGGCAGAACTATTGAATTTCCTTGGAATACTTTTGCCTTCTAACTTTTATGATTTTTCTTCCTTTCTGTAAATATAGAGCATTGTGTACTTTCATGTATTTATTCTGTATGTTTCTTTTAAGAATTATCATATAGTAAAATGGACTATTGCTGTTGCTTTATAGGTCTATGAATTTTAGCACATGCATAG